TCCTGCTTTCTCCACAGATTTTCCTCTCTCAAGTTGCAGCAGGAGGCTGGTGTGTGTCAAAATGCAAGGCGGATAGGAGCATCTCCAAGTTATTTTTTCTGGAATCAACACCTCATTAAAGATGTTAGCCAGATGGCAAAACAAGACATTTGTGGGCACTTGGCTTTGCTCTCCCCTTGCTCGTGCACCTCAGTTCTTCTATTGGACTTCTTTATAAGCCCAATATAGGAGCTCATAAGCATATACATTAGGAGGGCTCTCGGTGAACAGAGCACTTAGCTTAATTTTTGGCACGGATACAAATCCTGCCATAGTCCAAGAGTCACAAATGTGCCTGGGCACTTGGCTGATGAGGAGCAGAGAACTGACCCGCAGGTTTAGGGATTTGTCTACATGCGCTTTTACAGCTGCTTGATTGCAGCTAGGCCTGGTTAGGGTAACAAGGGCTTTGTTCCAGAGTGATCAATTTTAGCACAAATCAGATACGCCTGGCCCGGACGCGGTGGTTTGGACAGCCCTTCGCGCGGGCGCAGCGACACCAGCCCAGGTTTGCACAGCTGCAGGTCCGAGTGTGCTCAAGGCAAACACCTCTCCTGCAGCCTGCGCACGCATGGCTTCCCCTCAGAAAAACGAATTCACGCTGCCCTAACATTAAAGATTAAAAGCAGCTGCATCTCATCGCAGCCAGAAGATTTATCGGGCGCTCACGTCAGAAATGATGGCTCGTTGGGGAATAACCTTGGTGCTGGCACTGCACATTCTCAAGGCATATTAATCACCGTTTGTGTGCGAGTAATCCTGCTTTCCCTGGAAAGGGAGAACCAGGTGAGCTTTGGGGATTTCTGAGGTGGTTTGATTAAAAACGCCAGACTGCGCCTGGCGAGTGCTGCACTACAAATCACTTGGAGCTTGGGAACAGCCATTTAGAGCTGATGTATTCCTCAAATACAGCCCCTGGGATAGGAGCCTGGCAATATAGCCAAGCAGGGCTAGTCTTTCGATTGAAATGCTGCTTTCCTATATTACAAATAAGGAGAAAAAGAAAAGAAGAAGGGGGGAAAAAGTGCCTTTCGTTTCTTACCAAGTTTGTTAGAATAAAGTGAATTGGTTGGAGACTCAGAAAAGATGAACTGGTGTGAAAACAAGCAGAAAAGGGAGCAGGAGAAGAGGTTTCCACCACGCTGCTGTGATCGCTACCAGGCTACGGGACAGGAGTGCCAGAACATCGGCGGGCAGCAAGTGCTGCTGCCCAGAGGCCGGGGCGATGGGCACCCTCACACCACACTCGTGACAACACCCGTGCTAGAGCACATGTCATTTCTGTAAACCAAAGGCCATCCCGAGTGACGTTTTCCCCCCTTTTTAAACAACTGTGTTGAGGTGACTGCTTTACAGTTAAAATGGATGCACGACCCAAGGTAATGGCAGCTGGAACCACAGGCCATGGAGCGTGCCAGATCACAAAATATCAAATTACCAAACCTCCCATAGGGATAAAGCAAGGAGGCAGCCTCTCCCTTTCCATAAGCTCCTGTAGCCATGGGAACAGTTTGCAATTTGGGAAGGGTCTGCGGTCTGAAATCCGCATGACAGCGATGGATGGCAATCCCATGCTTGGGAAAGGCCGGGTGAGCTACGTGCACCGCAGGTCCTGGAAATGGCTCTGCCCACGCCACGGGCTCTGCCGTTCACCCGGTGCAGAGAGGAAAATCAAGGCTCTGCGGAGGGCTGGGCCCCTCCGGAGCGGCCACGGTCCAGGGGCTGGAGCCTTCGGCTGCCCCTGGGTCTCCTTCGCCCTGGCTGCTCTCGGCCTCCCTCAGCGCCTCCGTGTTCAGCGTTTCCCGGGATGCTCCTAAGCAGCGAGCTGAGTCACCCCCATTTCTGTGACACCCAGGATTCCAGAAAGGGGATTTGACAAAAAACAAGCAAAGAAACAAACAGGAAAATCATGTGTGTAGGAGACTGTGACTCTCGGGGCTTCCCCGAGGAGGACTCCGAGCTCCGCTCCGTGACCAGGCTCCGCAGGGTCTGCAGCAGGAGCAGTTGCCTCCCTCTGTGTCATTTCTCCGGGTACCGTCTATCCCCGCTGTGTCACGAACTCCATATGTCACCCACCCTGCTGAGCTGCACTGGTGGATGTTGCGTGGGAGGCTGATGGCAGGTGAAAGAAAAAGCTTTAGCCTGGTGTAGTATTTAGAAGTGTCAGCAAGCACAGTGAAATTTATATATATATATAAGGCAGCTTTGAATTTTTTTAACCCTTAATCCCAGCAATTTGCTCTAAGCACCGAAGTTCAAGCTCCTGTGGACACGTGCACCAAGGATCCCAACACAAATTACTCATCCTAGCAAAATGTGAGAAATTCTGCTCCTAAGAGAGCGAACGATTTTCTCCGTAGTGCTGCCCAAGCAATTATCTTTGTAAGAGCCGACGGAGAGACCTGACACGTCCTGCTCGAGGTGCGAGGATGGAGCTGGGGGGCTGCAGGGTTTAAACCTTGCTGTTTAAACCTCTACCTTTCAGCAGAGCTGCACTCAGGGCCGTGCTCCCTGGGGAAACGTGTGAACTGCTGGGCTCACAAATGGAGCCACACAATGATCCCTCCTGTGAATTAAAATAATTTAGTTCTCCAATTTGTCCCTAGACTCTGTTAAATCTGCTGGGGCCTTGAGAAAAGTGTGAAGTTTTTCTGTCTCCTCTGTTTATAACTTAAAATATCTGCCTACATAAAACTAACAATTTTGTATCTAAACAGTATAAAGGAAAAATCTACCCTGGTATAGAGATGTCTTCAGCTGCATGGGATTGACTGCACTGAAGACTTCTTCCACACTACAGACCATAGGCACTGGGACAAGCCTCATGGTTTGCTGAGCATCAGAATTATTCTGGCCCTGGCAATACCCGAGGTCTAAGGTCTCCCTTCCGAGAATATTATTGGGAATACAAAGGAACTATAAAGAGGAAAATGCAAAGGCAACAGCTTTGAGCCACCAAAACCTGTAACAAACTGGATTCAAACAATCCTTCCTAACAGGGCTGCAAAACGCTGCTCAGCAGCTGCTGCTGCTGCTGCAGGGCTGGCAGCTTTGGTAGGGCCAAAAGCTCGAGAGAGATTTTGGGATCCACTGGCTGGTTTTAACCAAGACAGCCCCGCTGTGACACCGTTTGCACAAGGCTGGGCAATGAGTTGAGAGCCTGTAAGTTAAAAGGCTGGGCTTTACCTTTAGCTTGGGTAAGCGGAGGAAGAGCAAGACTGCACGCCGGACAGTATGGCTCTTTTGTCTTTAATGCTTGAACATTCCTAGAAGCTGACCTGTTACATAAAACGTACAAATTGTCTTTCAGAATGAGAAACAGATACTTGAGGGAAATACAAAAATTAAGGGTAAATACAACTGTACTTACAAAAAAGATGACCCAGTTTTAAAACTTTGCAAATTAAGGAGTAAATGACACTAGATACACATTACTTTCCTTATTTGAAGGAATTGGACAAGAAATAATCTTGTGCGAGAAATGTCTGGCACATAACACATATAGTGAGGTCCCACAGAACCCTGTGGTGTCAGTCAATGCAGATAGTGGCTGCTGCTCCAAGACTCGGACCCTAGTTTGGAGTCATTAATAAATAATAAACAAATAATTATAAAGCAGTGCAACATTCATTACATATTATGTTACAAATGAGGTCCAAAAGTGCATATATTCTATTTGTTTAAGTTACAATGAGATGAAACAAGCTCAAATGTACCAAGGATTCTGGAGGGCTTTGTTTTGAGCAAATATAATTTCAAAAAGGTTTAAAATAAGGAGAACAGAAACAAGGGTTTTGACAAAGCTTTCTTCTGCAAGCCAAGCTCATACTTTCCACAGGATTGCATGAAGGAGCATTACCCTTCTGCTTCCCAACCTTCATTTACAATTAGATTAATATTCACACCCTGGCAGTTTTTGGTCCTCTAAGACAAAAGTGCATTATAGGAAATTTTTTAAATTAAAGACCTCAAAATAAGACTCGGAAAAACGCATGATGCAGCTAAAATACCATGTTCTGCAACAATAAACCGTGAGACAATTACTTTGCTACAGTGGACTAGCTTCAATAATTTCAGCTATGGCACTTTGCACCAGTTTGGGATCTTGGCTTTCAATAATTTGCACTTCTGTCCAGGTCATGCTCAGGCAGCCGTAATTTGACCGAAGTCCTGTACCTAGAATTTCCTATGGGATGGTTTTAGGTAGTTTCCAGCTGCACTGAAATTCTCCCAGTTCCTCTTCAGACTTCCAGGCTATTGAATTATGCAGTAAATGCGGGTGTCTGAACGACCCCGGACACCAAATGCATCCCTGGATTGAGGTGCCTGGGGGTCTAACCTGGGAACAACTTGCAAATAGCTCTAGAGAAACAGCCACGTTGGCCTGGCAAGGTGTAATTGAGCTAGTTCCTGTTCCTGCCTGATTAACACCCAGCAAAGAGAGGTATCAATCAGTAAATATCAAATCAAATTACAATTTGTATTTTTCTAATGGTGACTGACTATTACTTGTAAATTAACACAAATTCTTTAGTCCAACTGCCCTTTGGGGCAGTAAATCTAGAAATAAATGATTCAGCCAAATGCACAAACTTTTGCAGCCCACCTGAAACAAAAAAAATACATTTTCTTCATGTTCTTTGTTCTACTTGATTATTTTCTTTACCTTTTCTCTGGCCCAGCCCTGGATTTATTCCACATGCAGAACGAGCACTTGCTCAACAGCAAGCAGCATGTGTGGAAGAGCTGCAAGAACAGGGCTTTAGAGAGATTCCAGCTTTACAGGAAAGATTTAAAAAATAAATAAATAAAAGAAAGGAAAATATCCCAATTGTCTTGGTTATATTATTGATTATATAACCAAGCCCTACTGTTATATTTATGATCCTATAAATACAGAGTTGCCCTGAAATAGTGGCCTACAAAATGACAAAGGGAGCGAGGGCACCGCACGGGTGCCCTCCTGGCTGCGAGGAGGGGCAGAGCGGTGGTGCTCAGCACGGGGACGAGGACATCTGGTCGTACTCGGGGCACTTGAGCAGCGCCGGGTAGTTACTGTTCATCTGCAGGGAGGCCTCGCTGGAGATGTCCGAGGGGCTGCGTCCCCGCGCCCACGCGTCCGGGTGCAGGAACTGCCCGGAGTAGTCGGAGCAGTTGCTCAGGCGGGGCCGGTAGAAGCTGGGGTGAGGGCGGTAGATGTCCTCGGCCGTGTATCTTTTCATGAACAAGTAGACGGACATCACGCCGGCGCTCTGGAGAGGAGAGAGAAAGACACGCGTGCGGCTCCTGCCTCCTCCGCCAGCACCGGCACAAGGAAAGGCTGCTTTTCTGGCTCTCATGGTGGCACCTGAGTGTCACCAAGTCCCTGCTCCTCCCTATGCTCCTGGGACCCTACAGTAAACACCGTGACACAATAAACACAGTAACAGCATCTCCTCCTCCTCCTGATTCAAGCACTCATCAAATCATTTGCCCCATGAGCGCCCCAGGCTCGGGTCTCTCTGCCCCCTCACTATACCTGCCTCCCACCACACTATAAATTACTCATCTGATCTCAGGGTCTGCCTTTAAAACCCATCACTCCTTCCTGACAGCCCCTGGACAACAGCTATGCTAGTGTCCAGCACCTGAGGACAGAATATGCTCATTACAGGCATGTGACAGAGCTCCCAGCTGGCCAGTACCTCTGTGAGAAGGAAAGAGATCGCAGAGAAAGCAAAGGACCATCCGTATTTGTAATTGAAGAAAGTTTCAGAGTCCTTGGTCCTGTTCAGCATCTCGTCATTAATGCTGGAGATGTACAGGACCAGCCCCACCACCAGCGACAGACCTGAGGAGACAAGAGGGAGAAAGGCAGCAGGAAACACTTTAGGTGCAAAGCAGTTCATGAAGCACCCTGTTTTAAGCCCAAACCTGCAGATGAAACTGCAAACAGGAAGGCCGTGCTTGGAATGACTCTGGAAACAGGCTGCTCCCTGTTGAACTGAGCCAGGACATTTATATCATTTCATTTGAACCATTATGTTCTTAAGCAGGTTCCTCTGAACTGTGCACTGTGTAGGAGCCTGCTTCAAAGCTCAGCTGTCACAGCTATTTGTTTAACACTGTGATAACACCATGAATAAAACATTCACTTGTCTCATGTAGACATATCCTGGCTGATTATTTGAGGTTTCAGATCTCTCCTGCGACCGACTTACTGTGTGAGAAGGAAGTGTCCTCTCCCCAGCCCATGCTCATGGAGCTGCTCCTGAGGGAATAACTGTGGATGCTTTTCCTCTTTTCCTCCTGCCTCCTTGCGGCACAGCTGCCTCAAGGGAGTCTTGCTAGGAGGCAGACACGGATCCTGCCACCCAGGGTGTCTGGGGGTCACCCCAGGAGCCCCCCAGGCATCAGCTGGGGAGAGGAGCCAAACAGCACTGAAAAGCACCCAAACGAATGTCCCCTATGGTCAAGAATTTGCTGCTTTTTCCTAATTACATGCAGTGCACAGGATGTGATATTAGCATTGATTTTCACTTTGTCCAGCAGGGCTTGCATCCCTGAGGCCAGCGCTCACAGCCTGTCACATCCGCCAGCGTCGCTCGCCCCACCGCGGAGCCCGTGGAGGGGCAGGCGCTGGAGCTCGGGGGAAAGAAGATTTTGACAAACACCCAATTTACCCTCCCCTTCTCCAAAACAATCACATCAATGGCCCCAATGCTGTTTTTTTAGCATTGCTGTCAGCCTTTTCCCTGCATGCCATTAATTTGCTGCTCTCAGTGGCCAATTCTGCACACAAAACTACTGTGTGAACCTGGCTCATATTTTGGTTGTACCACGTGAGTTATTTCCACCTGTGGCACCTGTTTTACCTGTGGACATACCTTAAATTGAAACATAGTATTTATATTCATAATATATTTACGTTTGCTTTTATGAACTATAATATTCATAAAAATATAGTTTATGGCAAACGGTCAAATGGGGTTTCATGACCCTCCTAAACCAGAGAGAAGCTTGTGGTAAAACCCGACAGATGTGTGACCCAGGGGAATTTTGGCAGGCAAAACTCACCAGACAGGATGAAGAATATTCCAGACACAAAGGCGAGGATGGTCCTGTGTGGCCGAATGTGGCCGATGTTGCTCAGTATAAAACCAATGAACATGAAAAAGAGGCTGACCAAGGGGAAGGGGGTAGCAGAACGAATCATCTCTGATTGGGAGAAAAGCAGAAGAAGGTGCAATAAATTAATGATGTCCATGGACAGAGGGCTCCACGTGCCCTGTCCTGCTACCGCCTCGTCCCTCCTTGCTCCCGTTACTCTCCCCAGCCCTAGTAGGGTCCCCCCCTCTCCTCAGGTGCCCTTGCTAACCAGACAACTGAAACGGCATTTTGACAGAAATATCTGTTATAGTAGGGTCCCCCCCTCTCCTCAGGTGTCCTTGCTAACCAGACAACTGAAATGGCATTTTGACAGAAATATCTGTTAATGTTTACATTTCCGAGGGTCTCCATGTGAAGTGCTACATAAGGGGAAAAAAACACGCCACTCATGGAATCTGTGTTCTTCTCCAGCATGGCTGCATTACCCAAGACTTTTCCTTATTAAATCAAAGATGACTACAGAATTTATACTGAGAGCTGTGATGCTCCATCTTTAACTCATTCCGCTGGGTAATGCGTAAAATTGACCGCTGCAGGAGAAATACTGCTGCAAATTACTGAGAGGAGAATATAAAGCTTCCATAAACAGGAGCGCTGAAAGGAAATTGTACTGTTTACAGCCTCTGTGAGCTTCCTGCCATTAGAAAAAAGATGCACTCAGAAATTTAGGAACACATCAGATGATTCACACAGTAAAAGACACAGTGGCAGCACCACCAGTGAAACAAGAGTGTCCTCAGCGAGGACACAAAGGGGATTTTTAGGGGCATCCCTAGTGACCCATTGTGCTTTGCAGGCTGCAAAGAACAAGATCCCACCAAAGATCACTTACTCAGGACGTTGATTGTGGACTCGGACGTCATCTGGACATTCATGGGCATGACGTATTCTATAGTGAAGCACCGGCCACGCTCTTCACCTGCAGGAAAGGACTGATTCATGCCTGCAATTTAATTGCAGTTTTTATTTGTGTGTGTGTGCATGTGAAAAGTGGCTTTAACATTAATTTCCGTGCATGCATAAAAGCCATCTTGCTTTTTCATGCTGCTTCTAACTTGAGTGTTAGCATTTGGTGCTGAAGAATGTATCTGTTAAGTACAATCTCATGGAGAGATCAGCTTCCTGCCTTTTAAAATGTCCCTGCTGAAAGAGCAATAGCTGCCTGCACAGGCAGGAAGGAGGCCAGCGTTCTGCTCAGAAACATATCAGCTCAATCAATACAGTGCTGGTCATTCAGTACTTTTTTACGGGAATAATGGAAACCAACAGGTTCCAATATGGGAGCAGTGGATAAAACCCTTGTTTTCAAACTCCTCTTGCCAATGAATTTAGCATGAGCAATTGCTCTTTTGAATTATAGAGCTCCAAATCAATGGGTAAGATGGCTAGCAAGAGGTGGGAGAGGTGGGGGTGACAGGCCCTTTCCACGTGGGACAGATATTTAATACTTGATACAGACTGCTGATATATTCTTTTTTTAAAAAGGATTCCCTGATTCCTTGGAACACAAAAGTACAAACTCAGAAGCCAGAAGATTTAAGGTCACATCAGGAGAGGTCCCAGGGTCCCTCTCTCCTAGGGCTTTCTTCAAAGCAGTGTTGCAGACTTGACAATATTTTGAAAGTGTCAGTCTGAAACCCCCATTTCTTTGGGTTTTATGCAACTTTCTCCCCTTGGCCAAATCGCTTCATCAAAATCAGCATGAGCAGAGGAAACATTTCAGCTGACCTGAATCTAAATTTTCCTGGGACAAAAACACTTGATGGGGGGTCATGGGTCCATGGTCTATGGAGGCAGCTCCGGCAGGGGCTATTGTGGCATGAAGGAACCAGCCTCCTGCCTACACGAGGAGGAAGATTTGATGCCAAAGCTGGGCACGGGGTGTTTGCACGTCTGGAAACTGCTTGGCAGGAGCCTGGAAGCAAAGCTGGGCCTCTAGAAACCCCAGCTGCCCATGCCATTTTCTGCAGAAAACACAGTAAGAACGTCAGCAGTGAGAACTTCTCCATGCGAAGGCCGTACCTGACAAAAAGCAGACCCTCCAGAGCCCCGAGTGCAGCGACATCTTGATCTCCGTCGTCTGGTTTTGGGGCTGCACGGTGCCCTCCTCCAGGTAGAGCCAGTAGTCGGTGCTCACGGAGATGCCCAGGAGGCCGAGGCCGCAGACGGCGAAGACGCTGCTGAGCAGGGTGAGAGCCTTCCTGCCACACGTGCTCATGCCGAGGCGCATGGGGGGCCACGGCGCCGGGATGGGGGCGCTGGGGACACAGGGGACAGCGCGTGAGCGGCTGCTGCAGCCTCGACTCTTTGCAGCTTGGCCTTCCGGAGGAACCGCCGGCGTCAAAAGCTTCCCCCCGCCTCGTAAATTGCTTATTTAGGTCAAGCTGAAATAAGTCATTAAAAAAATCGCGGCGTGCGCTGACAGATGGAGAATTTGAACCAAATCCTACCTGACTGCGCCCGGCGCGGTCCTGCGGAACGTGCCCCGGCGCCAGGCCCTCTATCTGCCGCTTCCATGGGCTCTGCGCAGAGCCGCCGGCTCCATCCAGATCCAAAACCCCATCTCCCTACGGATTTAGCTGTGGCTAAGCTCAGGCTCCGGCTTACTCAGGGGTTTTGATCAGCAACCGCATGGCTGCGGGCGGCAGCGCCGACGGGATCTCCTCGCTCCAGGAGGGACGAAGACACCCAGGGCCCAGATCTACAGACACACGTATGGGCAACATGCCCACGGTCACACAGATCCCTGACCTTCCCAGACAGGAAAACAGGGCAGCTACAGCTACAGCCTCCTTGTCTGGAAGGCTCTGGGTAAACACTGTTGATGGAAATGCAAAAACATCCTTGCACCGCATGTTGCTTGTGCATGGAACCTCTTTTTTTTTTTTTCCTTCTTTTACTGTCGCTAATTTGTAGAAGCTAGCAGTCCTGAGCGTCTCTCAGGCTGATAAAGTGCTACCAGAAATCACAATTCTAGCACAGCAGAGCAAATGAACAATTAATATGGAGGGAAGAAACACCACAGAAATGAGAGATTAGAGGAATAAGAGCAAGAAAAAAAGAGATATGAGGGAGAGAGGGTGCTCTGGTGACTGGGAACGAGGCAGACAGTTCTGTTGACTGCTTTTATAAAGACAGTATGAATCACAGATAAGTGCCATATCATGTATATTTTCCAAGGTACATTTTGCTGTTGTTCGGCATTGCAGACCACAAGCAACAAGGGGAAAGAAATTCCATATAGACAACAAAGCTACCAAGTTTAACACAGTAGCAGCAGGATGCATCTTCCTCAGCCTCTTTTAAAAATTACACAGGCCTTGTTTATGCTGCGTGAAGTTTCAGGGGACAAAAAATGAGAGATGATGGAGGGCGAGGCTCCAAACATTACACAGTATTAGCTACTGCGCTGAACTGCATGATAAGGAAGGCAGAATCATCCTAAACAAAAAGATGGTGACTTCATTTCATTTTAAACACTTACTCCCAAAATAATGACAGATAAACTTGAGAGTGGTGGCAAACACATCACACACCTCTCTGGATGTCACCTTCTGAACTAACATGGGAATAACTCAATCACATCTATATTCACATCCTATGTTTGTTATTCTAGCACACACTGGTGAATGGGCACCTTGGAATAAAGGTTTTGCTTCTAGTATCGCTGCAGTGAAAGATGATGAGATTTAGCAGTGAGATCAGAGAATGTGACTCCTGTCTGGCCCAGGAGATGACTGGGGATTCATGTTCTGAAGCATCATTTTTGAGGGGTGAGGAGGAAACGGATTTTGTTCTTCCACCTCTGAAGTAAATATGCTAACGCTTGCAGTGACTCTCAGAGATGTCAAAAACCTCATATTGGCACTTCTACACTTGAAAGCCTCCAAGGAGAAACTTCCACCATACTTCCCTTGTGATAAATGCAAGCAGAAGATGCTCCAATAGACACTTCTAGGTTTGCAAGTCAAGCTCTTTCAAAGGAGCTCCCCTCTCTTGCAATGTACATCCCTGGCATCTCTATACAACCAAAGCACACTTCGGTTCTCCTACAGCTCCATCTTAGGAAGATCTAATAGCAGGATTCATACAAGAATGATATGATGGAAGCGCAGAGTTACCGTGGAGTCCAATAACTGCATTTACTGAACAGATGCAACACAGAGCCTCTCTGCACCTCCACCTCGCTGCGCCGGGTAGAGTCTGAGAGAGAAAAACCAGTGAATGCTACAAGAAAACCTGCAAATGAGAGAGACACAGAGAGACGCACGCACAATTATCCCACACTACCCTGAGTTCAAAGCAGTCTAGTACATCTTGCTACGAAGCAGATGCATCTGCGCCTTCAAATGTGGCAGCAGCTATGACAATTCTCTTCCAAAGGAGGTGAGGGCCTTGGCTCTTCCTCCTTTCGCACCAAGCAGAGTTCTCCCAAAGGGTCTGACCTACAGGAAAAGGAGTGTGATCCCTTACAGACGGCCCAAGCAAACGCTCCATCTTATGCTACTGCAAGCTTGAGATCATCGGGTCTAAGTCAGGCACACACTGCTGAGAGGAGGAACAGCACAAAACCCAGAAAATATTCCCCATTTTTTTTTCTGGCAGTAGTTGAAGAGTGGCAGCAAGCTAAAGAATGGTAGTTAAAGGACAGAGAAGCATCTACTCCAGAAACAGTCCTATATTTTAACAGTCCAATAACAATACTGAACTGTTTTAATATGTTGGCAGGGAATAAAATTGCATTTATCTTTGCAGAGAACATGCTTTTTCCTAGACCTTTAAAGATGCCCTTTGGTCCTGAGACAGGACCAGCAAAGCACAGATCCTCTGACTCCTCAGTTCTACCTCCAGCCCACGCTGAGCCGTGTTTTCTAGCGGCCACAACTAAATGATCAGTGTTTACTACAGTGTTTCATCCCTGTTGGCATTTTGGTGGTAAATGGAGCTCGAATCAATTCTTGGCTGATGTATCATCAACAAAATTCCTTACTGCACATTTTTTATTTGGAAGGAGCCAAAAATCAAAGTAGGGAGTATGTGAAAGTCCAGATAAAGTCATTCAGCAGAAAATAGCTAAGGAGGTGATTCCCTGTGGTCTGCTGTTTGTCAACAACCAGGCCTGAGAAAAACACGCTGGTTTGGCAATAATTTATGTTGGTCACTGGGGCAACTCTAACAGCAGGAGAAAAAGAAAGGGGTCAGGCATCAAAATGACACCTTTCATTTTTTTTTTCTCTCTCACACTTTAATTTCCATGTAATCACTTATTGCTGCTGTGCTAGAAAATAAAATCAAGCCTGATGAAGCAGGGGACAGGGATGCAGGGATGATGCACAGCCACAAATCAGAACAAAGCTTTTCTGAAGTCCAGTGCCTTAAGAATTAGCAGGGCTCTTAAAGAGTTTACAAGGATATAAACAGAAGTTGGCTTGATTTGCAGCAGAGATTTAGCCTCTGGTAACCATTATGAGTTGTGTTATGCTTCACACTGCTAAAAAAAGTGAGGCTGTCTGGTTTCCAACAGTATTTGTATGACAAATTAAACAAATATAGCCCCAAAGAATTCTGAGAAATAGGACCTTAGAACTGTTCCTGCTCCTTCAATCACCCTGTGCCTCTTGGTAGCAATCCAGGGAATAAGAGGCAGCCTGCAATGTAGCCTGCAGTCCTATTAATGAATTTCTTTCTGTCTTGGAGCCATAGCTTCTGACGGGTATTGTACATGCACCTCTCAAGGACGGACACATTCAGAAACCGAGATGGATATTGGCCTTGCTACTAACCCAGCTCACCCAGACCCAGGAGCCATGTGCAGCGTTACTGCTCCCAGCTCACAGAAAGAACCATCCTGGTCGGAGCTTCTGCCCACACCTCCGTGCCCTAACACAGAGCACAAGCCATCGCCCCAGGCTGTGTGCATGGGCTGTGAATAAATATATAAATATGGCACAGGATGAGTTGTATCAATACATCCCCGAGTTCCGCAGGGGAACAACGCTCCTTTTTCCCCGGTGTACGAGGAGAAAGAGCAGGGCTGAGCCAAGCAGAGGCGGCAGCTATTGATTTTTATGTTGCTAGAGCACTGCCAATTTCCCGACGCTTGCGAGGCGGGGAAGCACAGCCAAGGTTATCCGAGCCGCCGGGAGGGGAGGCTGCGTTGGGGAGGGATGCTGGGCTGCAGAACGAGCAGGGGCTCTGCCTCCGCGGCCCCCGCTGCAAGGCAAAGGCACGGGGACACCACGGGGCACGGGGCGGAACGGAGAGAAAGAGAAAGAGAAAAGGGGCATGGAACCTGCTGAGGGAACTACCAGAGGCACAAAGAGCTTCGGGGAACTGGGTAGGAGCCTGCAAACGCACCAAGAGAGAACGAGCTGTGATGGAGCTAAACTGAAAGGACGGGCTCCCGCTAAGCTGTGGCAAAAAACTGGGCTAGCTAAAAATAAAGGGCCTTCATAAAGGGCCTTCAGTAAAGCGCGATCTCTTTCTCAGGACAACGCACATATGAAGGCAAAAATAGACAGGTCAAGGAGAGTGGCTCCTTCAGAAGTAAACTTTCTTAAGCTGCGATGGTTTGGGCAGTAGGACCAGGCCCTGGGGCTCGTGGTGCCCCAATCTGTAAGTGTGTTTAAGGGGAAGGACACCCCTTCACACTGTGCAATGCAAGGAGGACCCTCTCTTGGGCAAATCAAGATAACTCTACAGCAGGATTATGCTGTAAGAGCTAACTTGCAGGTGCACCCCAAACCTGCAACACAGTGAGAGCCAGAAATCTTTGGAATTTCTGCAAATGCAGCCTGTGCAAAGGGGAGGGAAGGGTTAGGCATTTCCCATCCCAAAGACAGCAACGTGCCAAAGCCTGGAATTGGGCAAGCAGCCTCAGCTTGGCTCGAGGAGGCTGAAAGCCCATGAGATGCAGCGAGTAGGTTGGAGCCCAGGCGCCTGACGAGGCAGATGGGCTGCGCGGAGCCGGGGCCGCCGGGACACAGCTCAGCCCTGTTGATTTCAGGAGAGGATTTTACCTCAAAGGATCTTGGCGCGAGGCAGCGCGTGGTGAGACGTCTTCATCTGCAGCTGGGAACGCGCAGCACAGGCGAGGAGGACAGGCCGATCTTAGGGGAAGCCTCCACAGCTCCCATCTGGAGACTCTGGAAGCTGCGGACGGCCAAAAGCAGCTCTGCAAAGCCAGCCATGAAAACTGAGGGATTTGGAAAGCTGTGTAAAATGGTTTTGATGCTGGAGTTACTGCTCAGG